CCTGGAACGGCGCGAGGCGCGCGCGGAGCGCCGGCGGCACGGCCGCGAGCGCGTCGCCGTCGCGCGGCGGCGGCGGCGCCGCGAGCGCGGCGACGACGGACGGCCGGGGCGCGCGGCAGCCGCGGATCGCGCCGTCGCGCTCGGCGGCGCGGAGCGCGGCGGCGACGCGGCCGAGGTCCCGCGCGGCGAAGGACGGCCACGCGCCGGCCTCGCGCGGCCTCGCGCCGCCGACGCGCGCCGCGAGCGCCGCGGCCGCGCGCCGGAGCTCGGCCGGGTCGTCGCGGGGCTCGCCGCGCGGCGCCGCGACCGCGCGGAGCCGGAACGCGTCGCGGCCGAGGAGCTCGAGCGCGAACGCGCGGGCCCCGGGCGCCGCGGCGCCCGGGGGCCGCGCGCCGCCGCAGAGGGGGTAGGACGCACAGGCCGCGCCGCCGCCGCCGCGCGGCACCCAGGCGTCGCCGCAGCGCCAGCACCGGCACCGGCGCACGGCCGCGGCCGCGGCCGCCGGCGCGGCCCAGGCGCCGCTCGCCTCGCGGCGCCGCCGCAGCGCCGCGAGCTTCGCCGCCGCGACGCGGGCCGCGCGGCCGTCCGCGGCCCACTCGGGCCGCCGCGCGGCGACGCCGCCGGCCTCGGCCGCGGCGATCGCGCCGTCGGCCGCGGCCGCGACGACGGCGCGGTCGCCGCAGCCGACGTGCGCCGCGCCCCGGGCCCAGCGCACGACGCCGCGGCCGACGACGAGGCCCACGGCCGGCGCGACGAGGCCCCGGCAGCTCAGCGCCGCGCCGCCGTAGAACGTGACCTCGGCCGCGTCGCCGCCGCCGAGGCCCGCGCGCAGCGACGCCGTGAGCCGCGCGTGCTTCTCCTCGCCGCCGCCGTCGTCGTAGTGCAGCACCTCGTCGACGACGCCGAAGACGCAGACCTCGACGGGCTTGGGCCGCTCCCCGCCGAAGGCGCCCAGCACCTCCCCGATCTCCACGGCGCGCAGGGCGCCCAGGGGCGTCACGGCGATCTCGACGGTGCCGTCCTTGACGACGATGCCGCCGAGCTCCGCGGGCACGGCGGACCGGTCGAAGCGCACGCAGGCGCGCGCGATCACCATGCGCTCTCTTCAGCGCATTAGGCGACCCACCCCGCCGACGCGCCTACCATACCAACATGGAGAAACAATCCTGCGCTACACGGTAGCTGAGGACGCGCAAGCGAACTGGACATCGTGGAAACGATCCATGTCCGTGTTGAAGGCCAGATGAAGTCGGCAAGCTCAAGCTAAGCGATTCGGGGCTGCGTCAAAGCGCGTCATCACCGTGCGAATCCGTCCGTCGTCGGCGGCGGGCGGCGGCGCGCGTCGTCGTCGTCGGCGGCGGCGGCGCGCGCGCCTCGGCGCCCATGAACATCCAGACCTACAACGCGGCGGTGCGCGCGGGGCTGCCCGTGGGCCCCGCGTCCCTCGACCCGGCCCTCGCCCTCGAGGGCGTCGTCGCCTACGGGTCGCGCGTCGCCGGCGCCCCCGACGACGCCATGGCGTTCCTCCGCCACGCGATCCTGCTGCTCCGGGGCGGCGGCGGCGGCGTCGCGCGGACGTGGAGCGAGACGGCGCTCTTCGCCGAGTGCGCCGTGCGCGAGGCGCACAAGGACCTCCGGCGGTCCGCGGCGGCGTCGCGCGCGGCGGCGGCGGCGCCGGGCGCGGCGACGTCGTGGTGGCGGAGCGTCGGCGCGCCCCGCGACGCGGGCGAGGACCTCGCGCGCCTCGCGGACGCGGCCGGCCGCGTGGAAACCGACCACCGGTTCGGGCGGTCCCGACCAAACTTCAAACCTCTCGAGCTCGGTCAATTCGACGTCGATTCGGCTGATCTTTGGACGGATCGATGGCTCTCGTCGAGTTCTCGAAGCACAGCCGAAGAGGGTGCGTCGAAACGGTCGCGTTCGCGCACGTTAAAGTCGGGTTGAAGATTTGGGTTCCGCGCAGGCCGTCGGCGCGGTCCTCGAGAGCTGGCCCCGCGAGCGCGCGCCGGCGTCCCGCGCGCGCGCGCGCGCCGCCAAAACCGGCGCGCGCCGCAGGCTCGCGCGGCCCGCCGCGATCCCGCGGTCCGCGTCCGGCGACGGCGACCTCCGCGACGCGGCGTGCGGCTGCTCCTACGGCCTCGGCGGCCTCTTCCTCGGCGGCTTCGCGCGCGGCCGCGCGGGACGCGACGCGCGCGGCCCGACGTCGCGCGCGCCGGCTCCGCCGCGGCCTCGCGCGCCGAGGGGGGGGGGCGGCCCGTCCGACGGTCGGCCGGGGCGGCGCCGCGCCGGCCGGGCTCGGGGGGGGGCGGCGCCGCCCGGGGCCGGCGCGCG